GGTTTGGGCTTTGGTGGAACGTATTGGGCTTTAATGGATCGTATTGGTCTTTCATGAACCGTATTGGGCTTTCATGAACCGTATTGGGCTTTTATGAATGGTTTGGGCTTTGGTGGATCGTATTAGTCTTTAATGAACCGTATTGGGCTTTCATGAACCGTATTGGGCTTTAATGAATCGTATTGAGCTTTAATGAACGGTTTGGGATTTGTGGATCGTATTGGGTTTTAATGAACCGTATTGGGCTTTGATGAATCGTATTGGGCTTTAATGGATCGTATTTGGGCTTTAATGGATTGTATTGGGCTTTAATGGACCGGATAGTGACTCTGAGGACGAAGAACTTGACTTGTYTGATCACTCATCAGATGATTAGGCTTCATTTGTAAATTTTAGTCTTAGTAAACTTTGTGTTGTTTTAAAMTTTTATTATTTCCATTTTTAAATCTTAATTAGTAAACCATTGTTAGAAATTTTCAATTGTGTGGAATATTTACTGTATACTTGAATTATTGTTGTATGTTTTCTAACGTTGTTTTGTAGAAAATTGATAATGCCGCGTACTCGGATTACCGATCGAGCTAGTGGCAGTACACCTACCCACGGTATGGGTAGAGGCTCTAGTACCGCTTCGGCACACCCGGAGGAGATTGAGTCTGGTCGTGGTACTGCTGCTCCGGAGCCGCTTCCACAACAGCGGACGTTTATTGGCATCCGCGGCCAAAAGTAAATACATTTACATCTTTTAATTGATAAAAATATATTATTTGTATTGATGCTAATTCAATTCGTCAGTTTATAGTTTCAATGACAACAAAGTGATCCGGCGGATCACCAAGATCAATCGAGAGCTGCTTGACGACCCATGGACCAGTTGAGAGAAAATCCTAAAGGACGTGAGACGCCGAATGTGGGAGCGGTTTCAGGTTTGTGTTATATATTCAACTTATTATAGTTTATGTATTGAACCTAATAATCGCCTAAACTTTTACGTACAGGGCTATTATATTTGGGATCCGGCTTTGGACGCCCAAATCTTGGAGATATGAGAGAGAAAGTCGGCCAAACCGTATAATGATAACATGAGTGCCGCGAGGAAGAAAGCTGGGGAAAAAACAAGGATGAATGAGTATCCTCAGTACGATGAAACAGACCCCCACCGGGATATGAGTGTGTTGAAGAATTCCCCCCCCCCAGCTGGATATCTTCAGATTTGTGGGTCCAGATGGTCGATCGTTGGAACAGTGATAATTGGAAGGCTGTTTCCGGTGTGGCGCGTGAGAACAGTGATAGCCAAGTTTCGCTACACACCAGTGGATCGATACCATTTTCGGAGCATGGTGCTCGTCTGGTAGAAC